AAAAAAAGAAAGAAAGAAAAATGGAGGCCGAATGGATTTTACTCCAAGTGTTTGACCACTAATGTAAGTGGAAACGAGCAAGGAGTACGGGAAACCGGTCTAGGAGACTCGGGCTGAAAATCCGAAGGCTAAACCTAGATAAATTGTCCAAAAGGTTATCCTAAAAACAAAAATAAAGAAAAAAAATGATGTTTGAATAATTTTTTGGGAAGTTTGTTGGTGTTGGGGTTAGTAGGGAGGAACCGGTTAGTATTTGGTAACCGGTGGTGTTCATGATCAAGGTTAAGTGATGGAATTGAGTTGAATTTGTTTTTATTTGAGCCAATTAACCTATATATATCCTACCGATCCAAAGAGCCTACATTTCATCCCCTAGAAGTCCTCTTGATTCATTGTTTCACGAACTTGATTGTTTTAGAGTAAAATTTAGATAATAGGCAAACTTATGATTGATTTGATTGATGACCAGCTTGAGCGTACCTATCTCATATTTGCGAAAGAGATTGAGTGAGGCATATGATATATTTTTGTACTCGAGAGTCTTTGTTTTTCGAAGTAATCAAGTTAATAGTTGAGGTTTGCTATTATTATCTTTGGAATTCTTCTCGACTTGATTGACTGGTTTGAGAATAGTCTTGTTTGAAATCGTGTCCATGCTCATTTGTTTGTCTTCTCTTCTTTTCTTTGTTCGGGACGAACAAACGTCTTAGTGTGTTGGAGTTGTTTGTCCTATTTTTGTTGCATTTTTTGTTGTTATTTTGCCTTTCTTTTACCCCCATATTAGGTCTTTTAGTTGTTTTTTTAGTTCGTTTTGTAGTTTATTTCGTGGTTTGCTCTATTTTGGTATTTCTTTTGTTTCTCGTGTGTTTTTTCAATTTTCTTTTGTTTTTGGTGTGCAGGTTGGAAGCCCCGTGAGGAATGTATTTAGCCTGAAAATTGATCGAGCGATCATGGTTGTGAAGATGGGTTCGTTGGCGACATATAGGAAGAGCCCGAACGGGCTCAAACAGCAAAGTCGCGCAAATCATGTTTTTGGTGTGCATGTCATAAGAATTGGGAGGACAGGTTTTCAAGAAAATATTTGATGGGTTTGCATAGTTAGATAGAGGGGTTCGTTAGAGATGCGTAGAAAAAAACGAAACTCAATTCTGAGTTTAAACAAACCCGAACGAGCAAAAATCGTAAAGTCGTGCAGTGCAGCCCAGTTTTCTTCGCCACGGCCGCGACCCCTTTCTTCACCGCGGCCGCGGCGAACAAAAAACTGCCAGCGCCCAACCTTCTGCGGAAAAATGTCGCGGCATCGGGAATAGTCGCGGCCGCGGCCAGCGGGAAGCTCCGCGGCCGCGGAGGACGCGAAAAACAGTTTTTGCAATAGCAGATTTCTTAGACGATGGGGGAATTATTCTCTTCCCTTCTGGGAGATGAACCCCGTAGAAAGCACAAAAATCTCCTTCTCCATCCTTCTCTTTTCTTCATCTTTCCTTCTTATTTTCTTCTTTACTTTTCATTTTTTTTCTTTTCTTTCTCTTCATCAACTTATTGGAATAAGCTTGTACTTCA